AAGGTCGTCGGTGGCTGTCTTGATCGAAGCTGCCGCTGCTTTCGCTATCGGGTCCTTGCTGCACGTGGTCTGCGCCGTCGTCAATTTCGTGATCAGGTTGCCAGTCTTGTTCACGACCGCTGTCATTTTCTGTTCAGAGCTCTGCTCCTTCGGCTCGCGGTCGTCCTCGGACTTTGCGTCAGTGAGCGCATGCTGCTGCTTCTTGCCGTTGATCGCCTTCGACTTCGCCTTCGGCGCGCCGAAGAAGGCGGCTGCGCCCGACTCCCACGCGACGCCCCCATCCGCGATGGCGGTCTCGTGGTCCGCATCGCCGATGCGCCGCTGCCTGGCGGGCAAATCGCCGCCCCACCCCATCCTCAGTCGGTGCCAGCGCAAGGCAAACACAACATTATAGTGGCATTATAATGGCATTATAATGCCCGTGTAATGCTTTTTTTTCGCCCTGCGCTGGCACCGCGAGGTTGGGGCGCGGTCGGCGCTGGGCGAGGAGCGAGGAGGAGTCCCGCTCAGTTTTTTTATCCGAGAATCCGCGTGGGTTTCGGGGCCAAAACTAATTCCCGCGCGATGCGCTCGCGTGTGGGAATTAGGCCTGGTCCCAAACATCACATTGAAAGACACCCAAACATAACAATCTGCACAACGAAGAAGACAAGAAGAGGGTGCCTCTCGTTGATCTTCGCCTCTTCCTTGGACTGGCTCTGGATGAACTTCTCGGTCGGCTTCGCGTAGACACGGTCGCCCCACTCGTCGGTGAACTCGACGAAATTCCCTTTTCTGGTGAACTCGTCTGTCCCCTCGAAGCCGTGGATTCTCTCCAGCTCGGCCCTGGTGGACTCTTGTTGGGAGACCTCGCGTTTCTCAATGCTCTTCAGGGTCTGCACCTGCTTCCCGATGCGCTCGGCCCACTTCTTGTCCCCGCGGACGAAGTGGAACAGCACTCCGTTCTTGATCTCGGTCTTTTTGCCAGACTTGGACTCGCGCAGAGCAGCCCATGCTTCTTGCACAGACATGTCTTCCTTGCCGCGCGCGTGCTTCAGCTTCTGCCACGAGCCGACTTCAGAGCAGCGGTGTAGAGGAACTTGTTCAATACCTCCATGGGCGGATCCGTGATTTTATGCCGTTGGCAATGGAGTTTCATCTTCTCCATCTGAGTGTCCAGGAGGCTGCTGTCCACGTCGTCGGTGGTCGCTGCGGCAGGGCGCTTGGAGGTGGCGTGCGGGACCTCCACCACGGGGCCCTCCTCGAAGTCTTCCTCCTCTTCTGCCTCATCCGACTCCTTGATGTTATCTTCCTCGTTGATGTCATCGTCGTCCTCTGGAACGTAGGCAGCTGGCCGTTCGGCAGCTCGACCTCCAGCCTGAGACGCAGCTGGCTTCCTCTTCGCCATCACCTGTGCGAGCGACGAGTCTCTGATATCTCTGCAAACGAAATGCGGTGGCTATCCTCGACCAGCGTCAGAATCGTTTGAGCCTGAACGGTCACGGGCGAGATGGGGTCGCTTGTTGTGGTATGAACGTTGATCAGGAACTAAAGTGAAGCCTCCGTGGGCCCACCGAACGTACGTTTTTGGTGTTGCCACCAGGGGGCCATTTTAGCAGTCTTGGAGGCCATCTTGGCAGTCTTGGAGGCATCCTGGAGGCAATATTGGCCGTCCTGGAGGCCATATTGGGCGTCTTGGAGGCCTCTTGGGCCATCTTGGGGCCTTCTTGGGGCTCTCTGGGGGCTTCTAGGGTTGTCATGGGGCCATCTTGGAGGCCTCGTGAGCGTTCTTGGCGTAAGTTTGTAAGGCGCACGTAAGTAAGTAAGTAGTACGTAATAAGAAGTAGATAGTAGCAAGTAGTAAGTAGCCAGTCGTAAGTCGTAAGTAGTGAGTAGTGAGTACTAAGACATATGCAGTAAAGGGGGGTCGGCGGAATTGCGTGAGCCTCTTGAAACAATAGTAAGGACCTGGGGGGGGGGGGGGCTGTTTCGAGGCTCGCATGCACCCTCGTTGTCCTCGAACTCAAGGGGTGAGAGGCTGCTCTCGACAAATTCGGACTCGCCGCTGGATGCAAGTTCGCGCCCAGCTCCATCAGACTGGGCAAACAAACTATCAAGCTTGCTCGCGTCTGCACGTGCTGCCTCGCTGCTCACGGGAATTCCAGCAACACATTTGCATGCCGCCAAATCGCGCAGAATCTCATCCCGCATTGCAACTACTTTCTCTTTGGTTAGCGTTCTGGTTTTGACGCGCACCTTGAACAAGTGAGTGGCGACAGCAGCGTGGTGACTGGTTTTCTTTTGACTCACCTCACAAATAAGAGGCCACTTGTCGTCCTTCTTCATCAACAGGTACGATTTTTCTGTGTACAAGCACAACTTCACTTTGCCAAACGATGGCGTTTCCTCAACTGCCGATATGGTGTTTGTCACTTTCGTTTAATCCTTGACCATCTTTTTCATAGCTCCTCGTGCAGGCGGCGCTGGCGTGCTTGATTTTGCCAGCGCCTGGGCATCAATACGGTCACCGTTGTAAAGTTCGGATTCTTTCGAAATGTCTGTCATCCCGGACATCGAAAGTACATCTGACTTGTGCACTTCCAAACTGCGTCTCTTGGGGATGTCCGAGGGTGCGGTCGGTCTCGGGTGCGGGCGCGATTCTACAATTGAGCATTCGGCACTCGAGCTCGGCGCACCGCCACGCGCAGCAATCATACCTTTGACAAACAGCGCAAACTCGTTCTCTTTGTCAGTGCCACCTTCCACGGTGTTGCAAGCCCGCCTGAAAGCATCGGTGGACTCCACAAAAAGTCTGCAATGTCGTAACATCACGCCACATGCGTTCCCCATGTATTTGGACCAAACTTTTGATGAAAGTGAGCTCTTGTTGATTCTGCGCAAAGGGAAGTCGACCACCATCTGTTGCAAAGCCGCCTGCAGAGCAATGGATTTGAATATGCCTCGGTGCTTTGCCTTGAAAATTCAACCAGCAACACCTTGAATTTAACCAGGTCCTTTGGCCGAGCTGCCTTCTGGTCGTCCAACCACGAATACTGACCGAGCTCGAGCATATCTGAATCTGTCGTTGCAGAAACGTAGTTTGAAACTGCAGCGTTGATCAACTCTTGAGGCGTATCGGGGGCTGCTCTAGACTTGTCACCTGTCTTACAACCAAATGACATTGTTGGCAACAGACATGCAAGGGTGAAAAGGAATAATGAAATCATGGATGGGTGTGTGACAAAACTGTTTGAGCTAAATCGCAACGGTGGGGGTGACTATGCGAGGTGGATGCACGACTTCAGCTCCATGCCAGCGGCACGACGGAACCACGAGCAACCGATACAGTTTTTGAGCCGCATCCCAGGCGCGCAAACCACGAGGGGCCACGACACGATTCCACGCGACCAGCGTGAGAGATATTTGAAAGAGAACATATAGAAAACATGCGGCCGACCTGCTTCGGAAAGGCCGCCTCTACAATGTGTTTGGGGGCTGTGGGTGTGTGGGGGGGGGCTCCTTTCGGGGGTTGCCTGGGGGCTGTTTATAGGGCTGTTAGGGGGTTGTTTGGGGGTCCTTTCGGAGGGGCAGGTGGCATTTCTGTGCGAAGGTATCGCATATTTGTTTGCCGTATATTGGAAATATTGAGGCGAACAGCCGCTCGGACCACCCCCTATCACAATTTAATCTTACTGGGACTTCGCATCCCCCATCCCCCTTCAGTGGCCAGGGGGTCCATGTAAACCTTTGTTTGTCTGCTCTTAGGCTGACCTCTGTTTGCTTCTCGTAGCCAGCGTTGCCTCAGACCAGTAAGTTATCTCACGATCACGATATCCTTAGAGATCTTTTTTTTAAAAAAAAAAAAAAAAAAACAAAAAACAAAATGCAAGCACAGTTTTTTGAATATCGTGCACAGACGCTCGCATGCGACATTGAGGATACTCGCAGCACGCCACATACTATAATACAGCATATGTCAATAAATCAACTATAATACATTATACTGCATATCTTGCACAATCTGGAAAAGTTAGGGATAACATCATGAACTTTTTGGGATCTTGATTTTATCCAGAAAAGTTCAGTATTCCAGAACAGATCCAGAAAAAATCTGGATTCCAGAACTTTTTCATGATCCGGATCCTCTGGGGCCCCGCAGTCCGGCAGCAGCCTCGCCCGCGCGACCTTCTGGCCGCGGCGGGGCCGTGTTAGAGACGCCCATACTGATTTGTGGGCCAGGGCCGTTTTTTCACCGTTTCCCTGAAAGAAAATATCCCTTGAAAATGGAAAAGGCAAAAAAAACGGCGACCAAAAACGGTAAAAGAACGGCTCCAGGATTGGAACCGGAGCCGGAACCGGTCAAAAAACGGCGACGGAACCGGTAAAACAACGGCGTCGGAACTGGCAAAAAAACGGCAAAACGGAACCCGTAAACAAACTGCCCTGTCGTTTCCAGGGCCCACTGAGCCACAGTGGAATTCCAAAGGAAATCGCCTCGAGAGGAGAACACGTTTTGGATCGGACGCTGGGCACATCGCGTAGGTACGTCATCAACGCTACGAGGGCGAAAACACTTTCGGTCGCATGGCGCATGTCTCTTCCATCCTTGCCTCCAGTGCCAGAAGCTCCGTTGACAGTGGGGTGCAATCGGCCTAAGGACCGCCGACGCACGCCTTGTAAGGAAGAGCCCTGCACATGCCCGAGCCAGGCGCTTTGCGTCTGCACTCTTTCCTTACTGCGGACATCATCTCTGCAAATCGAATCCTCAACGCGTTCCGCTGCTGGCGGCGAGCCCAGAGAGGAAGTCAGAAGGACAAACCTTCTTCAAAGGCGGCGGGGCTTCTCAGAAACCTTCCGGCATTATGAGATACACCCAGTGTCTCCGGAGAAGGATGACAGCCTCTACGAAGGCCAGATGCCTTCCGAGCCTTCTGAGAAAACCCGCCCCCTCTGACACCCCCTGGGCTCGCCGCCGACTTGTCCATCCTCGCCACCTCCTCCCCGCGAACTGCGGGCAGCGCCTCCTTCGGCTCGTCGAGGTCGTTGCCGAACGGCAGCGGCCCGCAGAGGAACTCATACGCGCAGACACCCAACGACCACACGTCGCACGTGAGGCCTCGGTACGGGCGGGACGGCGTCGTCAACGTCGACGTCGAAATTATCGTCGCTGACGTCGTCGTCGTCGACTGAGGCATAAATGTGCTTACCTATGGAAACATTGTGGGAACTTCTCTAGAGCAAAAGCATACCGTAAACGGGAATACCCTTCCTCCGATCTTGTCACGTAGCCCCGTCTCAGTCAGGGAGGCGTCGTGACCGAACTGTGCCCGCAAAATCCGCCCAAAGATGACCGAACCTGCCGCCCCAAATTTTACAACCGCGCCCGAGTGCGACCGAAATGCTTGTTGGTTCGAAACTAAGGCGATGCTCAATGTTGGTCACAAGTTCGGTTACTCTACCTTTCCGGTCACAACTTTGGGCATGGTTTCGGTCACCGATTTACTTCGGTCACCTACCTTTTCGGCTGAAAGAGGCCTTGTACTGCGCGCTATGCAACGGCCGTGTTGTCTCCAGGCGCATCTAACCCGAATGTGTCTATAATACACTATCGACATACAACGTGTCTATAGAAGCTTGTGGCTAGACAACAATAACACAATATTTGGCAGATGCCCCAGGTAGAGTCTTGTAGAAACAAATAGACTTTGCCCTCCAATACAGACCTCACCACAAATTTGGAATCGAATCGCCGCGTATCAACTCAACCTCGAGCTCACGGTACGGCGAGGGGGTGGAGAACGGAGAAAGAGTGAAGGACTGAAGATCGAGACAGGGAAAACCATGCAAAGGAGAAGGCAACTGGGAATATGTAAGAACAGGTACGGCATTATGATCAACATCCAGATGCCCGATGGAGAATGCGCGGAAGGAAGTATCAGGCGAGAGCGCGATTCTGCATACATTGTGAGGAAGTCCCGCGCGAGAACGCGATTCGGGAATCACTTGGAAGGAAATATAAAGCGGGAGCCGTTGTTGTTGTTGCTGTTGTTGTAAACTGGGTGACAGAGACATATTTCTGGCACCCAAGGAAGGGCACTTCCATTGAGAAAGCACCACTTGCCCTGGGGGTGGGATTAACAACACTTTGTCTTCAGTGATGAGAGTTGAGTTCAACAGCGACAATCAGTCAAAGACTGTTCGCTCTTATTCACTCGCGTGACATCCAACAAGTCGACCCCAAACCCTCGATGCCCACCCTCCTCGTCGTCGATCGAATCCCCTTAGGGGCAGATCTTTCTTACCTGCAACGTGTCCGTCGTGCAGCACCTAAGGCAGGGGAAGAGAGGACGGATGGAAGGAAGGGACAAGGGGGAGAGAGGAAAACGGAGCACGAGGGAGAATACCAGGGAAGGGGCTAGGAGCAGAGATCACGTGGCAGATCCAAACGGGCTGATCGGGCGGGTAGACCCTAACAGGCGGGCCCAGGCGGCCATGTCGAGCAGGCGGGTTTGTGAAGCGTGCGTCCTGCATGAATCGCGAGGACGCCTTGAACGACAACGCGACTCCAAAATACATCTCGTGAAGCAATCCACAGCGAGATCGTGATTCCTGAGTGCCGAGAGCGCGGTGCCTGAACCAATTGCGAGGCAGTCCCAAGCGACAGCGCGATTCCTGAGTGTCGAAGGCGCGCCCGAATAAATTGCGAGAACATATCCAGCAAGAGTGCGATTTTTCAATACATTGCAAGGAACACCCTAGCAGGCGCAATATTTTTGAGTACATTGCAAGGATGTTTTAGGCGGAAGCCGTTGTTGTTGTTGTTGTAAACTGGGGTCCAGGGGCACTGTTTGAGCAAGATTACTTTCCCATGTGAGAGCGCAGCGAACTCCCGGAGGGGCACTCCAAATGAAAAAACACGTATGTTAGGCGAATACGTGAGTCAATTCGCCAGGCTGTCTCGGGAGGAGTGCGGTGCCAGTAAGTAAATAGTGGGGAAGTCCCAAGGCAGAGCGCGATTCCTCAATGGCGAGGGCGTAACGCCTGAATACATTGCGAGGAAGTCACAGGCGAGAATGCGAGTCTGCAAGACATTGCAAGGGAGTCCCTAGCGCGAGCGCAATTCCTCAGTAAACTGCGAGGACGTATCAGGTGGGAGTTGCTGTTGTTGTTCTAGTCTGGGGGCCACGGCCGCAGTTTGACCACGAAAATGTCCTTTGTCACAAAACAAGGTGCGAGGCCCGGGAGGGGCACTAGAAATAAAAAAACACATGTTACCGGAGTGGAAGATCGACAATCAGTATTCTTCAGTCGTGGGAGTTTAACGGCAGCGACAACACCACCGCCAACACCAACACAGACACCAACAAAAACAATACTAAACACAAAACCAAAACCAATAACAGTAACAACAAGGACATTCATTTTAATACTCTTGGCTCCTATCTGCTCACGTGCCAATCAATACGTATATCCCAAACCCTTGGTACCCGCTCTCGTCGTCTTCGATCGTACCCTCTTTGGGGCATATCTTCCATACCTGCCACGTGTATTTGGCGCAGCCCCTGGAACAAGAGAAGATAGTACGGGTGAAAGGGGGAGGGAGAATAATCGAGCAAGAGAGGAATTAGCAGGAGGGGGGCGAGGAACAGAAAACAAGTAGTAGAACCAAACGGGCAGATCGGGTGGGCAGACCCGTACCGGGCAGGTCGGGAAGGCGGGCCCAGGCGACGAGGTCGAGCAGGCGGGTTGCTGAAGAGTGGGTCCTGCATGAATCGCGAGGAAGTCTCGAGCGATAGCGCGATTCCCAAGTAAATCGTGAGAAGGGCCAGCGTGGGCCACGAAGGGCATAACATCCTAGGCCACAGAGGGCAGCGACGGGGCCGCTGAGGGCAGCACCGGGGCCACGAAGGGCAGCGAAGGGGCCACGGAGGGACTACGAAGGGCATGCACCACGACGGGCGCGATCGAGCGGGGGCCACGAAGGGCATTCGTATACGGGGCCACAAAGGATGACAGCGGGGCCACTGAGGTCAGCAAAGGGGCCACGAAGGGCAGCGAGGGGGCCACGAAGGGCGACAGCGGGGCCACGAAGGGCATGCGTAATTCTGGGGCCACGACGGGCGCGTGCGAGCGGGGGGCCACAACGGGCATACAATGCGGGGCCACAAAGGGCACGAAAGGCAGCGAGCGAAGGCGACCGCGGAACCAGTACGGGCAGCGAGGGGCATCGAAGGCGGGCGAAGGGCAGCAAGCGGCGACTGAAGTCATTAACGGGCTGGTCGGGCGGGCAGGCCCCGACGGGCGGGTCGAGCGGGCGGGTCGTTGAAGCGTGAGTCCTGCTTGAATCGCCAAACAATATGTAGCGGGAGCGCGATCCCTGAGTGTCGAGGACCAGCATCTGAATAAATTGTGATGAAATATCAAGCGAAGCGGTTCGGTGGTAAGTTGCGAAGAAGTCCCAAGCGAGAAGCGAGAACGCGCTTCTGAAAGACACTGTCAGGAATTATCAAGCGGGAGCCGCGAACTGGTGGCAAATTGCCAGGAAGTCCCAAGCGAAAGCGCGATTCTTCAATACATTGTGAGGAAATTTCAGGCGGGAGCCGTTGATGTTAAACAGGGGGCCAACGACCCAATTTGACCCTCAAGACATCCGCTGATACAAAATAAATGGGTGCGAGCCCCGGGAGGGGCACTTCAATCGAAAACATATAATGTGCTCCGGGCGGGGGGATCAACAATGATTATTTGTCAGAAGTGTGCGTTCAACAACAACAACAACAACAATCATTTTACCCGAACGCTCAGTGTTCTCACCAGTGCCAGGGTTTTCATGCGACGCGAGACAATACCCCCACTTCGTGGGGGGGCAGTTCAAGCTCTACCAAATATCAAAACGACTCTTCGCGACCACCCAAACCCAGCTTCCCGCCCTATGACGTTGGGACACTTCACTTCGTGGCGTGCGGACGACCGTGGCTACTACACTGGCGTGGGGTACACACCCACAGAACTTGGTCACTTATTCGGGGCGCGCGTGTG